CTAGTGCCTAGTCTGTGCTTGGTACATTCCGTAAGTTTAATGACTATTGGTTGTTGTATTGTCTTCTTTTTCAATGGAAATGCAGCATCATTCTTTAAAATAAAAGCTCTAGAACCATGATAGCTAAGACCTTCAATCTTAACTACTTCTAGCTCTTTGATAGAGATTGAAGGATAATATCTTGAGGCCAGCTGGAACCAAAAATAAAAAAGTACACAAGACTCCATCTTGATCAATGGGCTAGGTCAAGTAGCACACATCTATCACCTCAACCTATGGGGAAAGCACATTGGGGGTATCTACCATCTAAGCCATATGGGAAAACAAAAAGAGGATGGCAGTCCTGGGTACTTGGGCATAAAACCCACGTGATTGTTTTCTCTTGAAAATAACCATCAAAGGATTGTCTAGGGTGTGTTGCTCAAGGGGTAAAGCACCTGCCTAGCAAGTGAGAGATACTGAGTTCAAACCTAAGTACTGCAAAGGAAAAATAAGCAAAGATTTACTATGTCTTCAAAAGTTTAGTCCATAGTGCACTGGGCCTATGGTGAGGCAGAACACCATAGTGGAATGGTGTGGAGAACAAAGCTATCACACCTCATGGCAGCCAAGAAGTAGAGAGACAGGATAGGAAGAGTCTAGGGACAAATAACATCCTTCAGTGGCATGCCTCAGTGGCCTGCTTTGTCTAAGGTCCTATCTTCTAATAGTCCAGTCAACCTTGAGCTCATCAATGCAACACTCTGATGATCCAATCAGCCATCAATAATACCACCAACTATTGGTCAAGTCTTCAACACATAGCTCTTTGGGGGGATACTTCTTACCATGGTGGTGCTTTGCAATCATTCTCCAAGTGAATTAATGACAAACATATTCAGAAACTAAGTAACTGTATTTGGTACTTTTTCATTTAAAGAACCAGGAAAGACTATCCCTAGACAGCAGATAATTTTGAAGCCCCCATTAATATCAGTAATGCATTTTTGTTTCTCTGCCTCTTATTCTGAAAAGAGAGCAGGACAATGGATTCTGGCTGGGAATTCTTACATTTGTTCATGATAATGATTTATACTTAATGCAGTCCTTGGCAGCTTGTAAAGCGCGTGGGCACACATTCTTAATAACTATGCACCATTTTCAAGTGCAAAGGGGCTCTGAAGGGCAGTTCTGATCTATTTCACTCCTCTATTTGGGGATGCGGGACACCTGAACAATGTAGGTTGATTCCCTAGAGAAATGATTTCTACTGGTCCCCTCAGTTAGGATCTGATACTTTTTTTACTAAGAGTTACTAAGAGTTCTCTTCCTCCTATTTAAATCTGTCTGCTCTGGTGCTATCTTTAGCAAGCATTTAGATAAGACCTGAGGAGTTAATGTTTTCCTGGCAAAACCTGGAGGAATACTTCACTGTTCCTTCCCTTCTTTTATGAAGACTGGAGAATTGCTTAGCAATAAAACAGTCAGGTTGATCTACTTTAGCTAGGGCAGCCAGGCCCAAATGGGAACTCCTCAGTCAGAGAAGACAGCTTTGTTCATGGTAGATGCACGTGTCCCATTCATGTTACTATTTTGGCTGAATACATATAAGGGTGGGGAAATGTCCACTAGACAGAACAGCCAGTTTTGAAGCATTCTGTTGCAATGATGTGCTCCCAATGAGTTAGAAAAGTTGGGCTAAGTGGATTAGTCATGAAGTGTCTAGAACCACACTGTGTCAAAGGGGAAAGTTCTATTTCTGAACTTGATGACAACCGCTCATAAAATCCAGGCAGCATTATAAATGGCACACACACACACACACACACACACACACACACACACACACACACACACAATTCCAGAACTACAGCTGGAATAGCAAACATAACGAGTATCATGAATGGAAGGACCTTTCAAGCACTGAATGATCCTTGCAATATAAGGAAATTATTATATTGTGAATTGGAACAGTATAGGGACTGATTCCCTTGAAGAGCAGCCCTGGCCGCACACAGAAGCAACTGGTAACAAATGTCCAGTGAGACAGCCCACTGTCACACTGGATGCACATCCTATCCACTCTGTTTGGTTACCATGAAGGGCACAGGTAAGGGAAGAGTTAACAATCTAACCTAATCACCATTTCTTTTTCTGAGAATACTTGAAATAATCAATTTACAAGGAGAAAAGCTTTATTGTGGCTCAGAGTTTCAGACATTCCAGTCCATGATCGATGGCCCCATCATTTTAAGCCTAGGAAGAAGCAGTGCATCGTGGCAGGAATGTAAGGTAGAGCAAAATCTCACATTTCATAATGGCAAGGAAAGAAGAAGGAGGAAGAAAAGGATGCTGGGATCCCACTAACCTCTCCAGGGGCTCACTGTCAATGATCTCAAGGCTTCCCACTAGGCCTTGCCTCTTAAACTTTCTACCATCTGACAAGAGCACCATTTTTGGAACCAAACATACACTTTTGGAGAAACACTTTACATTCAAACTATAGTGCCCAGCAATGATCATAATGCAGTAGTTGACACTAATATGAAGAAACTGAAAAAGAGCATTCCTGAAGGAAAAGAAAATTCAATAGTGAAGAACAGAGAATGTCCAGAGTAAGGAAGAATCTGCAAGAGAAGCACTACATGCAGCTACAATGATACACAATTTGGAGCAGACACCAAAGGAAAGCAGGAAGTTTGGGGATGACTGCATTAGGGACACCTCAAGCCAGTTTTGCTGATACTGATGTTTTCTCCCTCTAGAAATGGCTCTTTGGGGAATTTCTCCAATTAAGTTAAGAGAAATACTGAAGCACTGGTGTCTGACCCAAACCAGGCTGCTTCCTCTTCTCCTTGAGTCTTAATTAGCCCTATCCCAGCTCCTGCCCCTTCTCCCTAGGTGACTTGTTTGACCAAAGGGCAATGGACAGAAAGACTCTTCCCATGGTATAAGATATGCTTTGATAATTATTTCATGGACATGCTACATTATCCAGTTCTGTGCTTCAAAAATGATCAACAATCCATATGGTTGTTTATTTAGCAAGGTCACAAATACTGGGCATCACATTCATAACTATTTGGAAGAAATCCAACCATACATCAATGTAAAAATATGGATCCCCAAAGAGGCAGCTCATAGTCATAGCAAGAAAACCACTAGATGAGCTCACAAAGCCTTGAGAATATGCTTGATAATATAAGGGTTTAGCCCCAAATAAAAGGCATTTTCAAGACTCTGCCTTTTAGTTATTATACTTAAGATATAGTTCAGCGAAATATTTCCAATTACTACACTTTCTCAGAGGTTGACTTATTAACATACAGATGGGAATTTTGGACTTTTTAAAATAAAAATTCTCACTTGACTATGCTAATTTATAAAGCAAAATAACATCCTATTGATTGGTCAATGGTGAACAGAGATGAAACCACAAATTCTGGACTAAACTATGTACCAATGGCAACAAAGAGAGAATTAATCTCTGATTACAGTCCTAGCTGCGTCTTGGATGCATGAGCTAAGTGGATGCAGGCAAGTCACTTACCCTCACAACTATTTTATTTATAAAAATCAAGATTGTAGCAGTTGCTAAAGAAAGGCATGTGAATGAAATGAACTCATCACTTAGGGACTTACCTACTTTCTATAGTATGACATGACATCAAAAAGTAGAAATAGGGGCAGGGAAGGTGGCTCAGTGGTAGAGCGCTTGCCTTGCATGCATGAGGCCCTGGGTTCGATTCCTCAGTCCCACATGAGCAAAAAGAAAAACCTGGAAGTGGCACTGTGGCTCAAGTGGTAGAGTGTTAGCCTTGAGCTGAAGAGCTGAGAAGTAGTGCCCAGACCTGGAGTTCAGGCCCATGCCTGGACACTCCCCCCCCAAAAAGTAGAAATATATGTGGGCATCTCACATTAATATTAATGAGGAATTTGGAAGATGAGAAGTGGATAGGAGGGGATTCCTGAGAGGTAGGGCTTAGTTAGTGCATAGATTTTTGTCTTGAAAACTGAATTAGATTAGAACTAACACATTTTATTTGGTCAGTAGAACAAGGAGAAACATATTTAAGCTGAAGTAAGTTTTTATTTTTTTTCTGGATTGGAGGACATGGGAAAAGTGTTAATGGGCTAAATTACTATTCAGCTTTGGTAATCATGTAAATTTTAAGATGGGCAGAGGAAAGTCTCTGCGTGAACTTGGAACCTTAAAGTACTAATGTCTTGTGATTCCTCTTGCTTTTAAAACACCTTTCTTCCTAGAATCTAAAACCTTCTTTCAAACTCCAGAATAATGTGAATGTATACTTGTTGAATATTGAAAAAACTGAGTTCAGATTTCAAATCAAAAGCTGGTGTATTTAGTGCTCAAGAGTTAACCCTAGTCTTCTGATGGAGACCCGAAGAGCCCTCCAACTCTGATTGCCTGGATCATTGTTACAAGTCTTAGGATTCCAGTGGCCTAGACATCTCAGAACAGATTCTGTTTACTATTTAACTCATCAGAGCACATGAGTGAATAACTAATACATAACTGAGTAAATGCCTACGTAAATATATGGCACAGCCCTGAAGAAGAGTCAGTTAAGGAGCCCCTTGTTAAGTGTTGAGATTCTTTTTCTGCATTGGGTTGGGTTTTACTTGATGCGTGCTTTATTTTCCTTCCTAGGTGGAGTTTAATTATTTGTTAAAGGTGGCAGGCACTTCCTTTTTAGGGTTCCAACTACCAAAAGATGGTCTGTCCTTTTGGTTGCAAGTCTTTACAATGACCTCCTAAGCCACATGACAGTAATCTGGACATCTCCTCTGCTCTCAGAGGACTCCCCAGCTATAATAGCAGGTTCTTTTTGTTTTATACCTTCAATGTGTTCTTAAAATAGTGGCAGACTGAGGAGGAGGAGGAATAGATGGGATATTTGGAGAGGAAGACCACTTTAGAAACATGAATGAGGTACTTCAGAGTTCCAAGTAGAGATGCCATTGGCTCTCTATTTTCCCCTAATTTGTCTTTCACTCACCATTGCATGATTCAGCCATACTGGAAAGATGTTATCCAGGGCCTTGGGGTAAATGAGATTTCGATCATAAAAAAAGAGGCTCCAGAATGCCAAAAATACGAACTGGAAAGTGAAACACACAAAAAAATCGCATCATTAGTTCTGTTTTCCAGTCATAGCTTTCTAAGATCACCAAGAAAACATATAGTACCTGTTTTAAGGCTTGTTGTACACACCTCATAGAAATGTAAGATACAGAGGCAAATGATTATTGTAGAATTGCTCTGTCTGTTCTCTTTGGGAATTCTGGTAGCTACAAGCCTGCTTGACTGCTTGAGCTCTGATTGTAGGAGTCTGAGATTACTGTTACTTGGTCTGAGGATTCCAGAGGGCTAAACATCTCAGAATAGATTCTCTTTACTATTTAAACAATCAAAGTACATAAGTAAATAAATAATACAGGATTGACATGAGTAAATAAAGAATACAATGTTCTGGTGAGTTAGGGGTCCACTTTTTTCCTGGCAGACTTGCTTCTTGCTCCTTCAAGTCTGTACCAAGGATGCTGAGAATGAGACCCATGGAATAGCTTGGGTCTTACAATTCTTTGCCAAGTCTCTCTCCGATTTTATTTTATTTGGATGGCAATCCTGAGGTTCAAACTCATGGCTTGGGCTCTGTAACTAGCACTCTACTACTTGAGCCACAGCTCCACTTCTGGCTTTTTTTTTTTTTTTGCTGGTTAATTGAAGATAAGAGTCTCACAGATTTTGTTACCCAGGCTGACTTCAAATCATGATCCTTGGATATCAACCTCCTGAGTAGCTAGGATTACAAGCCTGAGATACCAGTGCTCAGCTTTTAAAGTAGGCATAACAGGGAAAACAAAGGAGAGAGGCTGCTAGTGACAAGCTCCTGGAATCATTCACCATCCAGGTAACGGAGGGTTAGATTTCTTCAAGGCTCAGACCTTTGCACTCACCTCCAGCTATGGTACTCCTTGAGAATCTTGTCAAAGCATCTCTACCCTGTGCTAATAAAGCCAATAACATGTTTGCGATGGGGAACTAATAAACCTCTGATCTTACCATTTCTGGAAACTTCATAGGTCTATTTTTCAGATTTAAAAATGAACAAATTATATTGTTCCCTTAAAAAACTTGATCTTTAGGAAACTTTCTGTGTACATGGAGGTGGAGGTATTCTGCAAAGGAAACTAGAGTGCAAGTGTTTGCTTTACCTGAGAACTCATCAGTGTTTGGAGTTTCATTCTGCATTTAGTTTTGAGCTCTCAGTGTCAAACAGAGGAGGACAATGGAAAAAGGTAGTCATTTCAAATCACCGGCTCTGCAGGGTGGCCAGAATTCCGGCTGTCTGTTTCCCTTGTAGCTAACGAATGGGAACACAAACAATGCCATAACTCTGTGGACAACACAAGCTAACAAGCTTACAGTGCCTAGCATCTATCTGATGCCAGCTCAGTCAGCATAGCGAATGAGGGATTTACTGTCTGCTCTTCACTAGACCATCTTTCTCTCCTACGTTGTCTTTTCCACATGCCAAGTCTGAATGCTTCACATCTTTACTATTCCACTTGATGGCTTTCCACTTGTACAAGTAAGATATGTTTATGGTTGCAAATAAAACAGAATGTATAAAAGGAAAATAAATTACTTCTCTACCCAGGGGCCTCCATTCTCATCACCCTGACAAAATTCAAAGTTGTCTCAGTTGTACAGCCAACTCTCAGTATCTGTGGGGCATTGGCTCCAAGAACCCTCATGAGGGCTCAAGCCCCTCACCTAAAATGGCATAATATTTCCATTAAGTTATTATAGTATGTTGTATTATTACATCATATTACTCTATTCTATTATTAGTCCCTAAAAGTTACCTCAAATTATATAATATTTATCATTATATATTATAATATATTATAAATATACCTCTTATTATATTACTCTATTCTATTATTATTATATAAAATAGCATGATATTGCCATTATAACCTTAATAACCTTCTAGAATTTAAAATACCTAATATAACTATTATAGTGTTTTAACTATATTTTTATTGTTGTATTGTTTTATGTTTATATATTTTGGGTTCACAGTAAATATGGATTGCTGATTATATTATGATTAAGAAAGTTCCTTCAAGCCTTCTTCTTTCACAGCCATAAGGACCTGGCATTCAGATTTCACCAACATACATGATTAATGATAAAGCTGATGAGAAATAGATTCCTCCAGACCCTGGCCAATGTGGTGGCGGTCCTCATACAGGACACCTATGCAAATGCAGTTGGTCTGGCTGACAGCAATGAGTTTGTATAGCTGCCCAGGAAGAGAGCCTGTCCATTTGTACATATCTATTCAACTCTATACACATCCTGGTAACTTACGGTGGACAATGGAAAAGCCAGCGTGGTAAAAAGCAGATCTCTGAAGGCAGTGATGAACTTAATGTCTTTTCTTCCTTGAATTCGTTTCAGCACATCATCCAAGCAGGCGACCCCAAAGAAAATGGCCTGCAAGAGCTAAGTCCATTACAACAAATGAGGACATTTTCATTTGCTTTAATTAATACATTCTTCACTGATAGACACCTGCATTCCTCAGGGAGCAATGTTGGTTTGGGAAAGAGGACTGTTTTGGTTGAGAGCCAATTCAAGAGCTGGGCTTCCAGCTCATTGGGCCTTGACCTTGCTCACTAAAACTGATTGAGGTAATTTGTTAGGGGATAATAATGTGTACAGTATTTTGTGTAATGGATTTGAGCTGAAGTGAAAACCAAACAAAGAGTTAGCTTCAAAGGAGGATGTAATGAGATAAGACATCGGTAGGACGAACTCCGTCAACAGCATGTGGGCAAAGTGCCAGCTACAATGCTAGCATGGTCAGGTGTCTTGCTAGAAAGAAAAAAAAGCCTATGGCTGAAATCTCACTAGGAAAACATGAGCAAGGGTCAAGGGCATTGGGATGGAGCTGTATGGTGGAACACGCACACAATTGTTTCTGGCTTAGCTAGATGAAGAGGCACATTTCCTCTTTCCATAAAGTTGCTGCTTAAAGGCCTTGATGAGCTTTTAAATCCTGTGGATTAAATCCAGAAGATAGAGCTAGGAAGCTATGATCTCTGATGTGCTAGTCAAAGTTCTGGAAGATCTGTTTAGGCCAAAGGAAGTATGGGTTTACTGTCCTTTTCTGAAGTACTTGGGACAAGAGGTATTCCAGAATTAGAAAATTGTTTTTCAGATTTTGGGTTATTTACATTTACATATACATAAGGTATCTTGGGAAGGAGGTCCAAATCATAAATTTCATTATGTTTTATAGTTGGAAGTTAAGTTTGTACAATAATTTTAATAATTCTGTACATGAAACGATATTTCATGATGTGAAGTCTTCCACTTACGCTGGTGGTGGAGATGTTTGGATTTTGGAGCATTGCAGATGTCCCATCTTAAAACCACAGTGTGTGACATGGAAAGCAAAGCTCTGCTGATGTTTAGTGCTTTTCACAATCCCATGACTTCTACCTTGAGGCCTACAGAGCTGCAAATATGTAGCATGTGTTGGTTTTGAGTTCTGTTCATGTCTGAAGCCATGTAATCCTTAGAAGTTCTGCATGGATATACAAGGGATGGTCTGGGCTCTGTTCTTAGGGAAACAAGTCAAGAAAGTGGTAGAACTTACAGGGATCTGGGTGACCCATCAAACTGGCTGTTGGGGAACAATGTCTGAGGTCTGAAATCTATGAAAGATCTTACAGAGTTGGCCTCGTGAAACTCCCAGGGCTGAGGAGCAGGCAGGAGAGGTTAGAGATGGGAAATCAGTTACTCCTTTCAGATGGATCCTAAGACCTACAGCAACCACATTATCCGAGAGATTTTCAGAAAGGCAGGACTTTCCCTTTCTCTCTCCCTCCCTGTTCCCCAAATGGGAATTTCACTCTCTGAAACGAGGGTCCAAGATAGTTCAGGTTCTCTGGGGGATGATATATAAGCAAAAGTCCTAGAACCACTGGATTAGACATAAAATTATCACTGAAACATCTTACTGACTACTTAAAACTTTAATAATTGACTTCTGTTCATCATGTGTTATGTGTCAGACACTGAACTAAGGATGTGTGTGTGTGTGTGTGTGTGTGTGCATGAATACTTGGGCTTGAACTTAGGGCCTAGGCAATGTCCCTTCACTTTTTTGCTCCAGGCCAGTGCTCTACCATTTGAGCCACATGTCTCCTGGCTTTTTTTGCTTGCAGACAAGTCTTTTCTGCATGAGTTGACTTCAAACCACAATTCTCAGATATCTAACCTGGTTAGTAGCGAAGTTTTTAATTCTCATCACAACCTACTGAAGATATGCTATTATCAACCTACTGCATCTACTACCATTTTACAGACAAGGAGACTGAGGTACAGGAATAGGAACAAGCTTGCTTAAGGTTGCATAGTTTGCATCTGGTTCTTGAACCAGATTGCATGTCTAAGAACAAGTCAAAAAAAGCACTGTAGGAGGTCAGAAGAGAAACAATTATTGCAAGGTGGTAAAATTAACAACTTAAACAGTGATGCTTGATTTTTACTCCCCAAGATTCTTCTTGCTCCTGGGAGTACGGCCTCAACGTCTGGATTTTTAAAAATCAGTACTAGAGTTTGAACACAGGGCCTCATACTTGCTCAGCTGGTGCTCTACCAATTGAGCCACACCTTCATTTTAGCTCCTTGGTGGTTATTTTGGAGATGAAATCTGCAGACATTTCTGCCCAGGGTTCTTTCAAATGTAATTCTTCAGATCTCAGTTTCCTGAGTAGCTAGGATTATAGTAACAGCAGAACCTTTAAAAAGTCATCTGAGGTTATTCTAGTCCTAAAGAGGTGAAATCCACCTGCCTAAAGAAAGCTTGTATTTGGAAATTTATACCATCAGGTGGGACCAAGTAGATGTAGGGGTTGAACCTTCATTTGGAGAAGATTAATGAGAAAGAGGGGGAGAAAAAGAGAGGAGGAGGGGAAGAGAAAGAAGAGTTAGAAGAGGTGGAGGAGGAGGAGGAGGAGGAGAAGGAGAAGAAGGAGAAGAAGGAGAAGGAGGGAGGAGGAGGAGGAGGAGGAGGAGGAGGAGGAGGAAAAGGAGGGAAGAGGAGAGAGGAGGAGGAACAAGAACAAGAGGAGAGGAGGAGGGAGGGGGGAGGAAAGAGAAGGAGGAGAAAGAAGAAAGGGAGGTGGAGAAAAGAGAGAAGAGAGAAGAGCAGAATAAAAGTTCTTGGAAAATATTCTCATCTAAAAGATGGAAGGGAGCAAGAAAACAGCCAAGAGAGCAGAAAACGGTCAGGTGGAAGAAAACAAAGATTGGACAAGAATCCCATAGACCATAAGGGAAGAAGCAGCTTCACACCAGAAAAGGGTATGAAAAGGCCGTGGTTTTAACTGTTGGTTATTGTTGTTGGGACTTTCAATATTCAGCCAAGAAGGACTGTATAATTTGTCTGTGTAGCCACTGGCATAAGAGTGTTGGAACAAGTTCCCCCACCCCATCTCCACCCACCCAGCTCTCATCCAGCTCACCCCTAGTTTCACTTCTATGTGCTCAGCCACAGAGGCAGCTGCCTTACTCTGGAGTAGCGGCCACAGGACTGGGCCTGGGGAAGGGGGCCTCCTCAGTAGTTCATCATGCCCTGATCATCTGCCAGCTCTTCCCTCTTTGGAGGCAAGGTTGCCTCCACAAGTCAAGTACACGTGATTGGCTGAGGCTAGAGCTCCCTGCAGCCACTGGGAATCAAGAGTATTCTTTCTCTTGCTTTTCCCAGTCAGCCTATAGAAATCAGATCAGGGACACACACACACACACACACACACACACACACACACATTCCTCTGGCCCTCTGGGGTTTCTCCATCAATAAAACTAGTTCTCTAGTGTGAACTTGCCTTCACCCCTCGGCTCTCCACTGGACTCCCAGGCACCTGCCACATCTTCTGGGGCCAACAGTGTATTGGAAGGTTCACAGCCAAGGCTGACCCATCATCATCTGTATCAAAACAAGCTACATTTTGAGAGCCCCACATCCATGCTCTAGAAAGAGGCATCGGGGTGTTGTGAGAGTTAGGGCTTACAGCAGCTACTAACACCAGGTAGAGTGAGCTGGAGGATACAGAAGGTGAGATGCCATGAACTCTAAGAGAGACTTCAGTGGACTGGGATTGAGGACAAGTTTAGTTTATCCAGGTCATCACCGGCTTGCTTATTCTCCAAAACCAATGCAATACAATCCAACACAATCATAGTGTTTATAAAATGCACAGAGAAAGCCAGGCACCAGTGGCTCATATCTGTAATCCTAGCTACAGAGGACGCTGAGATCTGAAGATCAAGGCCCTGAGTTCAAGCACAGTACCAGCACAGGAAACAAAAACACAAACCAACAGATCAATTTTGAGAGACAGCTGCCAGAGACTCACAAATTTGGAATCCTAATGCCTTATCAATCACTCAGAATGTAACTCTGTTTAGAGGTAGAGTCTTTTCTTCTCTTTAGTACTTGGTATTGAATTCAGGTCTTAGCTCTTGCTAGGCAAGTGATCTACTACTTAGACTTATGCTCTCCTTTTGCTTTTAGTTTATTTTGCAGATAGGGTCTTGGTGCTTTATCCCAGGAACTGTAACTTTCCTATTCCCCATCCGGCCAATAGCTGAGACCACACATCTGTACTACTATGCTTGCTCTGAGGCAGGGTTGTTAAAGAGGTAATCAAATAAAATGAATACATATGGGAGGCCCTAACCTGATAGGATTGGTTCTCATAGGACACATAGAGGGAGGCCATTAGAAGACATATCCACAAGGGTAGGATTCAGAAGGAACTAGCCTTACTGGGTCATTGATTTCAGACTTGTAGTCTCCAGAGCTGTGAGCATTTTTGAGCTACCTAGCCTGTGGCAGTTAGTTACTGTATTCCTAGCAGTCTACAGTAGCATTGAGTGATAGAAACAATTAGTCTTCTTTTAAAATATCCCTACAAAATTACTATCATCTCCATTTCTCAACTATTTTGATTGCCTGAGGAAGTGGATTTCAGTATATCTTCCTGTTTAAATTTTATTCAGACCTGCCATTCTGATTCACTTTTTCTCCTGATCCTTCCCTAATTCTGCTCCAATGGAGTGTTCTATGCCTTTTCCTGAAATGCTGCTCTTCTAAGTTTGTTCATTTCTGTTGTCGCCTGACATACATACATAACTGCCAGTGACAGAGATGAATTTACATTAAAAAATTAATGCAATTTAAGGAACTGCAGCTAAGGGCTATATTGGTTCTACATCCTGAGTCTTCATCCTCCACAAAAATATTAAAATTATCATAGCAACATAGCCTTTTTTAGTTTATTAAGTTCATTATTTTTAAGTTTATTATTATTATGATCCTTGCCTTAAAGCCAAAGCCCTCTTAAACTATCCCAGGACATGTGAACTCCTTCTAATTGCAAAATGATTCTGGAGAGGGAGGTTCCAGAAGTTCTCTGTGCAAGACATTA